TCTGCTGTTGGATATCTCATCTCCAGCGCCAGCTTGAAATACCATGGCCGCAGAGAGACACAGCCGGTATATATACTAGTTACACATAGTTATTTTCATTGTTGAGAAAACCACCGCATATGGAGCACATGTTGTGTTGTGTTTGAAGATGTTGTAACTCATCCGAAGTGAGAAAGTCCGGGTGATCTCTGCACTTTGAACAAATGTGACGGGAATTAGAATCCTGTAGATGTTTCAGGATCCAGGGCGGAGGCTGTGGAAGGTACATCTGTAAGATAAACTCACCTGGCGGTTTGATCGGACAAGTATTGACTGGCCTGCTATTGAGAAACAGCTTTTTGAATGGGGTGATCACTTTCTTGCTGGCAAGAGAATGAAACTTATTAGATAGTTGAACTACATAGAAGATAGCCAAGGTTCAACAGCCAGTCACAAAACGACTGACAAACGAGGCTCTTCATCTGCTACTTCGGACTGCTTCAAAGTCTTGACTGAGATATCAACCCCGATGTGTTATTAGTTTTATCCAACGTTTGCTGATGAACTTGGGGATAAAGCTACAATATGCGGAATTAACAGGGTTCCTGAGGAACTAATTCGTGAATTCATTAAGCATAATCTCCTCATAAGCGCCCAAGACGAGGTATTCTGACTTAATCGTGGCCAATGGTTTATCTCCCAACTCGAGCATCACGTTTGTCCACCGACATCGTCGCAGCCACAGCGCCTAAGTAGCTTCCCATTTTTGGCTCAAGGCGCCAGGGTCCTTTTCCACCCCCTTTTTATGGAGCAGGAGACATCAATTTGATAGGCGCAACATATAAATAACCCAAACTGCAATCCATTGGCTGGGGTTCGTCCAAAAATAGAGACAGAAGGCCCTTCAACAATGACAGGCAAACGGCCTGGGATGGGAAGATGGCTGTTGTTGTTTTTTTGTCAGGGATAACTTGCAGTTTCTTAATCACAGTAGGCTCCTGCAGACCAATCCTGCCTGTGCATGTCCTTGTATTTCACATTTAACAGTGTTTCTTGAATTGTTAGGAGGGAACTGAGATATAAAAATGGGTTCCCCAAGACACTGGGGTGAGCCCGCAACTCAACTTGGTTTTCACTTTTTTCAGAGATCTAAAAATGAAGCTGTATGTATTACTTTATTCTTTCACTATCTTCTCATCATCTTTGTTATACATGCTAATATGAGCTGAAGAATGCAGAAGTCATCATCAAGACAACAAATTCAATATTTTATTTACTTATAATAAGCTGCTGCTGATGATGGGGGGATACATAACATTGAAATGAACGATCTAATTTATTCAGCAGGATGTCAGTCAGCTCTGATGTAAATGAATGATGTGATGTCTGTCAGAATCTCAATAATGAGCATAATTATTACATCTGTACTGCTATAGACTGCTGAAAGAAATTCAAAATTTGTCAGACTGTGGTCATGAATATATGCTGTGCAAGTGGTGCCTGAATCATCCTTACAGCTCTCTTTATAATATCACTGATATGCCCTACCTCAACAAATAACAAAACATTCTGATATCAATGTAGATAATCTTAAGTGGCTGAGGGACACTGACTCAATAGATATATGTAGTTAAAGAAACAGACAGGGGATGACAGACCTGCTTTATATGATTTTGTATGATATCCAGATATGAGGGTTAATTCAGTGCTTCAGCTTGGCTGGTTTCATCGACCTGTTCTAAGTTGATTGTTCAAATTTGTAACTACTTTATATTGTTCTTTAAATTGGGTGTCTGTATCCAGTCTCAAACACGCCAACACTTCTACCTCTCAAACCCTTTACAATACTATCCGCAATGAGATCTGAAGATATCACATGTTCAAATACTGAAAAAAACTGAACTGTGTATGAACAAGGCTTTTGTAACTGAACAACACTTCACACACATGTTCAACAGAAACCCAGCTTGCTCTAAACTTGTTTTCAGATTTAGAACACATTTCAACAGTTATCTCTTTTGATCTATGATCTGAATCTGAAGTGTGAGTATAACTGCCTCTATGCAACTGAAATATAGATTTGAGGAACTTTGCAGAGACAATGCAAGATATCATCTGTGGAAAAGAAAAATCACTCTGTCATGCATCAACTGCTGCACCTTCGTTCACCACTGCAGTTCATTTTCTTGCAGAATACTGCAATCTACACAATCTTGTTGATCAAACCCTGATGATACTATCTTCAGCATTGTTTCTTTCTTCATTGTATACAAAGAAAAACCCAATATCACTTTTGAAACCTGATTGTCATAAGAGGTAAAGGCTGAAGCCAGTCATATCAGAGTCAACTGAGCAGAAACAATCTGACTTTATATCAGAACAGATAGTGTCAAAGCTGAACAAATTTTTGACATTGAATTGCAACACATGAGATCTACACTTTCTTTTATTGAGTGTATTTTATGAATCTGAAATACCTTGCAATGCTGTAAGTCTATGACTGCAGTCTACATTCACTGTTCTTAACTCTGTGAAGAATGATCATCTACTTACTCATATCATGATGAACTGAGTTGTGCAAGTTTCTTTCTTTAACTTGATAGTATAATTGTGGGTACTTACAAGAATGTTCTTCAGAATGGTTGATTCAGCCTGCTGCTGATTGAACTTCATGCTGCATCATGGTGTGGTGTCACATAATCATTTTTGCAGGAACCTGTCTCTCAATCTTCAATTACTAACAAAGTGCTTTTATAATCAAATGAGTGCTGACTTCTCTATCTGATCCAAGCAGAACAGCACACTCAGTGACTGGTGTCTTCATGAATGTCTTTCAGTACCACTGCATTTGAAGATACTGAAATTGAGGTCCGTCTACATGCACAGTGTACTGGTCACAGTCTTCAATATGTGGATTGGCATTGGGCTTGTTGAAATGGTAAACTGTTACATCCATTGTGTGTTAAAACCACTACATCTGCTCGTCCACCGGCCCAGCACCCAGCAATAAATATGTCCATCAAATATGAAGCTTTGAATCTTGAGGAAGAATCAGCATCAGAAAATGCTACACTAAATATCTTTGGGTGGCTCCAAATTGATGGCTATCCCCCACGGGAATGAGGAATAAGTAACCACGAGTGGATCAATCTTGGTGAATCTGATAATGAATCACCATCCCTGAATGAGTCACCAAAGAGCCATGCAGTCCCAAAAGCTGTGGTGGAAGACTGGATACGACACAGCATTCTGATACCTGACTCAATGATGGATCCTTCACAGATTTGATCCTTTGTGCAAAGGATGTAGATTCGCCAATGCCAACTAAATTTCGATCTGCTCGAGCACATTTCCATAGTTTAGCCTAGAATTTATCCTATCTTGCCATACCCCAACTCCAGTTATTGTTACAGCTACCGCTACAAAATGCCACCTCCAGACACGGATGATCCTTTGGCGCCGACCAGTTCGCCGGCCCTCGATAATCCCGATGAGGAAAAGTTTTTAGAATGTTTAACCCGTCTTCGCCGGTAACGCCAGGAATAAGATCGCATTCATACCCCGCGGTGCCTCCTTTGCCTGCGCAAACCCTATTTGGGGAGCAGAACACAAGCGGCGCATGGTCAACAATTTGAGGCGTGTTTTATTCTCAAGGAATGTGGTTCCAAATCGGACTGGGTGAGGCAGCTGGCAAGCTCGCACGACGAGAAGAATGTCAGACCACCGGAACTGCTTGCCAGCGCGGTAGTACTTGTAGCTTATGATACCATCCACCAGGGTATCCTCTGAGCTAAAAGTTTTGGAGTCGGTTGAGTAGGTGATTCTTGTTTTCTCAATCAAGACTGTTGGCAGTTTCTCATACTGTAGTCGGCGGCTCTGTAGAATTCTCGGGATTGATCCATTATCACAGCCCTTCTCAGTGTATAGATTTGCTAGCTGATGTAGAGCAGGGTATAGTGTCATAGCCTTCCATCTCTGCACCTCTTTAAAGAGACGGCAGGTGCCTTTGGAAGGCATTGACCATCTAAAGGGGCATGCACCACGGCAGATCTTTTTCAAGAAGGTCGATTGCATCATTGATGCGCTCACTAAGAACATAGGAATGGGCCAAACCCACTGCAATAGGTATCAGCACCTCCTCTTGTTCCATCTGCAAAACCCACTTCCAGGCTGTCTCAAGGATGAAGCGAGCAGCATCCCTTGCCACGAAATTTTTGCAAACAATAAAAACCAGCTCCTGAAAAACCTTGCCCCAGCTGTACTTCTCCACGGAACGACATTGATTCAAAAATATTGTTTTCAAAATCTGGTGGCTGCAGTCTTGGAATAAAGAGTATAGAAACTTCAACAGGTCTGAACAGCTGAAAATAAAGCTGCAAAATCAGGCATGTTCTCAAGGATCATGGGAACATTATCAAGTGGGAGGCGCGCTAGATTAACTGTCATGGTGACCATGGGAGGCAGGAAGGAGGATGCCGCACAGTGGGTCTTTTATGATAGAAGGCGGATCTGTAAAGGACAAAAGATAACGTGGATAGAATGCGATGAGGTTGGCGCCGTCACTGTGAAGAAAAAGAAGTGGAAGACAATAAAAACAGCGGAGATTGCTGAGATTAAAATCTCCGTGGCCAGCTCCCAGGCGGGGTTCACTAGGATGAGGCTGGTAGATGACCCGGATAATGTTGGTAAACAGTAGTCCGACCTACGCTAATAAAGATGCGCATTTTGCTCTTCCTTTGACTGACTCGGTGAAGACTGAGGACGGACATGATTTGAGCGGCTACCACAACTCCTTCCAAATAGAACTAGAATCTATATCCCTATGGTACAAAGCTATTTTGCTAGGCTCTGTTGATAATCTTGTCTAAGACCCCTACAAGTTTCGAAAGTTGCGAAATCAGCCTAAGCATATCAATAACCCAAGATTGAGCAACTCCCATGTCCCTCCCGGCAACATCTCCAGCAGTTGGAAAGCCTAGTGAGTCGATGGCATTTTTAAAATGACACACGACATGCGCTGAGCTGAGGGGAAGATCAGCGAAGATGTTCCTTGACAAGTTCAATTAGATCGGTTCCTGAAACATTCCCTTCTCCAGAAATTTCATCATTCAAGCAGCAGCGGTGTTTTCGTAGTTTGACTGCTTTTGAGCATCTAGTAGGCTGGACAACATCGCTATTTAGCAAGAAATATCAAGCGTCCCTGTCACAAAACTACGATAGTACGAATCTAATTCTGTACCTAATAACTCTTTATATAGCCAGTGAAATCTCGACGACACGATCCACAGGTCTCTGGCTCAGGAGAGAGACACCCTGGACAGAACCTGTGTCCGCACAGGAGGGTTGTCCACTCTGAAGGGATGGTATAGCATATTGGGCATTGGCATCAATGCTCCAGCTCAATGACCTCAGCCTTAAGCCTGCGGATCTTATCATTGTTCCCGATCAGCTCTGCACAGTGTTTGATTTCTAGCTCGGTGTTCCACTTCTTCAGGCGCTGCACTTCTTCTTGTAGGTCCCTGATCTTCGCGGACTCTGCTTCAAATATGGTGTGAATTTCTTGATTTGCTGTCGCCTATCCTAATATCACCAGAACTACTTTCAGGTTGGGCATTGTGCATTTCTCCAGCGGCTATAATGTTGTGGATGCAGAGGAATTGAGGAGCGCTGGGCCATCAAACAGAGTGTCGGAACTGGATAATGTCCGAATATTGACCCAAATACTGAATATCAAAATAGAAAATAGAATATTGAATTGCTTATTATTTGTTATTATTCCGATAATTACATGATAAGTAGGCAGTATTTATAAGGAAGGATATGCTTGACTATACAAGCGGGGCAGTGCTCTAATGCGCAGCAAGGCAATTTCGAAGAACGCGAAGCAAAATAGACAACAAGGCAGATTATAGCATGATGTCATCTCTGAACCTTGATACGAGATATCAGCTCCGACATACCCCCTTCAGCAGAATAACATTAGTAATGAAGCTGGATAAATTACCAGAATAGGAAAGGATATAGAGGATATGACAATCAAAAAATAAATAAATAAATAAATAAATAAATAAATAAATAAATAAATAAAGAAGATGTATGAAATGGATAAAGGATATCTATGAGGATGTTGAATTCCTCCTGTCCAAGCTCGTTGAGTTTTTATACCTTATTTTGTTATTTTATTGACAAGATCAGTTATATCAACTAATCCTATCTGTTTGATAAATTCTCTTTGCCTCTGTTGCGATAATGGCTTGGTCAACCCGTCCGCTGGCATGTTGCTTGTAGGCGTCCATTGTACTGAGATATCGCCGGATTGTATCCGTTCTCGCAACCAGTTGCCGTAGATATCAACGTGGCGTAATTTGGTTGTGATAGAAGGATCTTCCTTAGTAAGGATGCCAACTGTTTGTCGATTATCACATTGGATTGAAATCTTGTGCCCTGGATCGAATCCCAGATGATCGAAGAATCGTTTCCACCAAATTGACTCCTTGCCTGCCTGTGATATAGCTAGTAGTTCAGCTTCAGTGGTGGAAGTTGTTATTATTCTCTGCCTCTTTGACTTCCAATCAACAGGTCCTCCAAAAAGTTTGAAGATGTAACCTTCTGTTGATCTTCTATCTGAATTATCCGCGAAGGAGGCATCACTAGCTGCTTCAACCACATTCATTGATAAGCCATCATTATCAGGTACGCTATATTCAATCGCTAGATTCTTCGAATCTCGCAGATAGGCGATAACGCGATCGATCTCTGCAGAATGGCGCTCAGAAGGATTGGTCATATAGGTTGCGAGCTTGCCAACTGCATATGCGATATCTGGCCTAGTCATCACTGCGGCGTAGATACAGGATCCGATTCGGCGTTGATAGTAGTGGGTATCCTCTGGCGATGCGGTTCCTTGATAAGGTGCTAACGGAATGCTAGATAGGGGTGTTGATGCTTTGCGAGCATGAGCAAGATGATAAGTATCAACCAACTTATCGATATAAGCATCTTGACAGAGCCATAACTTCTTAGAGCTCCGGTCCCTAGTAATTCTCATATTAAGGAACCATTCAAGGTTTCCCATCTGTCGGAATTCATATGTATTTTTAAGATCTTTGATTAACTGGTCCTTTTCCTCTCTGTCATCAGGGTGAGATACCACAACAGTATCATCAACGTAGAAGAATATAATTATCCGTCCGTTGGTGAATAGGCATTTATCCTCAGGGATTGGAATGAAGCCTAACCGCTTAAGAGTATTAGATAGTTCTTTAAGCCATAGAAGGGGTGATCTTCTTAGGCCATATAAGGCACGTCATAGGCGTAGAACATAGGTGTTCTTTTTGAGGTTCCATACCCCCTTCAACTTCCACCAACCATCTGGTAATTCGACGTAAACTAGCTCATCAAGTGAGCTGTTCACAAAGGCATTGACACCATCCAATTGCTCAGCATCAAGGTCAAAGGCGTTGATAATAGCAAGCAAGATACGAAAGGTTCTTGCAGCTAGGGTGTGAGCTTTGGTATCTAGATCAGATACTGGTTTTAAATCACCTCGGACACAGATACGAGCTTTGAACTTGGTGAGATAACCATCATCATCAAATTTATAGATGAATACCCATCGTAGTGGAATCACTGGAGTATCTTTCGAAGGTCTATTAACAATTTCATAGGTATTTTGCTGGGTTATAGAGTCCCATTCCCATTTGGCAGCATTAATCCATTCATCGCGATAGGAGTGCTTGTTGACATCATTCCAATGTTGAGGTGGATCAGGTAACTGAGATTGATGAATTTTGAAAGGTTCTGATCTAGATAGAGGTTCCGCAAAGGCAGCGTTGATCATCCGATTTGGATTTTTTTTGGCAAGGGATACTGCTATATGATGGGTTGCCTTGCGCGTTCTCTTACCCTCGATTATATTGGATTTGTTGAAGTCAGAACTGATCTCATTCGCCCTAGGCGCTCGATTGTGTGATAATATCGGATGAGTATCAATAGGAAGGTCAGGTTCGATAGCAGTGTTAGAATCAGGTTCAGGGGTAGGATCCGGCGTAGGTAGGATATCTGCCATAAGTTGCGCCTCCAGCGCCTCGTTGATATCTTCGTTATCTTTATCAACGTTCTCCGTACGCGGGGGGATCTCATCAGGACGAAAGATATCGATATCTGAGCATAGATTATTCTCTTGTTGAGGAGTGCCAACCCTTGGTTCCTGTACTTCAATATCCAAGAACTCGACCTCTTGAACAACCCAATCTCGCAGCTGTTTTTCGATGTGAGGTTCATCTGGGTTATATCGTCTATTTTCATTGAATATAACATCCCTTGTCCTTATCACCCTATCTAGGTGAGGAATCCAAATCCTAAAGATGTTTGTAGAATCATATCCCACAAGATATACAATATGAGCTCTGGGATCAAGCTTCTGTGATCGATTTCGATTGAGGATCTCATTGGGAATCTTCGCGTATGCTCGACATCCGTAGACACATAAATGAGCACAAGAGTGGTGGTTGATATGAAGATATTCTTCTAGTGCTCGGAGTGGCGATTTCCATCCTAGTATCTCGGTAGGGGTCCTATTCAGCAAGTAAACGGCAGCGGTTGCTATCTCAGGGAACAGTGATTGAGGCAGCAAGGATTCTATCCTAAGAGCTCTTGCTCTAGTGGTTATGATAGCACCTGCCCGTTCAGCAGCACCGTTCTGCTCATGGATATATTTCGAGGAGTATTCGATCTCTAGGCCCAGCTCGATTACCCAGTCCTTAAAGATATCAGATTCTTTGATAGCTCTCTCATTGTCGATTCGTATGACCTTTGTTTCACAATCAAATTGGCGTTTAATCCACTTTAAAACCTTGTTGAAAGCTTTCCTTATATCAGATTTTCTCAAGGCTGTTACTGCAATATGGAAACGAAGATAATCACATACAAAATGTATGAGCCATCGTTCTCCGTTGTAGCAGTAGGAAGGTCCTTGTACAATATCTGCATGGAGTCGTTCGAAGGGTGGTTTGGATCGTATATGGGGACGGCGAGATATTTGATTCTTTGCTTTGGCAAGATGGCAAGGTTCGCAGAGTTCTTTGTCTTCGATATCATTGCTCTTTGCAATATCTTTGATATCTGATATCTGAACCCCTTTGGCATCGATTGGCAGATGTTCAACTGCTCTCATCGAGGGATGTCCTAGGCGTTGATGCCAAATCTTGGAGGAAGCAGTAGAGCTTTTTGAGGTGTATGAAGAAGGATTTGGTGATTTTGATATCTTCACAGATTCTGCTGGTTTGCTAGATGGAGCAATATTAGTGAGCACCAAGGTGTTCTCACTAGTTCTGTGATATTCAGTAACCAGCAATCCGCCGTATACTTCTATGCGAGCAAAGATTGAATTATCACTAATCCTTCGCAATCTGAATGTTTTGCTATCGAGGAAGATCCCCCCTATATGATAGCAGGGTTTCCAAGCGATCAGGTTGGTGTGAGAGAATGGAATGTACGCAGCATTTCTAAGGATCACTCTGAACTGCTTGCCGAGATTGTTGGTCATGTAGGTCCAAACAGTTCCATATCCCATAACCCTTGTTGTCGAATCTCCAGTATAAACTTGCTCTTCTGACGGTTCGTACGTTAGGAATCTCGATCGATTATTGCAGATACGTCCCTCAGCACCAGTATCCCCTTTATCGAATCTCGGAGGTAGGGG